TTGTCAATGTTTCGTAGATAAAGTGACTACCAGAATGAAATGCTGGGCCACAGGGAACCTTTCTTATGCTAGGAGAACAGTGTTGATTAACTCAGTATTGCTCACTCTCCATCAATACTGGGCTAGCATCTTCATGATATCACAATCAGTAATGCAGCAGATTACTGCCTGTTGCAGAAGCTTTCTCTGGGGAGTTAAAGAAAATGGCAGACCATGGCCTCTTGTTGCCTGGAATGAAGTGGAAGCGATATGTCATCAAAGCAGAGAAGGTAAATTTGGCGTACAGAAAAGCTCTGCTAGAAGAGGAGATTATATTTTATGGGTGTATGATTAAGTGGATTCCAGTTTGTCAAAAAAAAAAAGATGAAGCGGATTCCCAGAGATTGGAAAGTTTGATAAGAACTATCCACAAGGGTGTTACTCTGACGATGATTGCCACATTTCTGAGAGCTCCATTTTTTGGTCCGAAAATTTTGACGACTATGATAGCACGGATTGGTTGGAGGAAACGGCTGCTAAACCAACTAAAGATGTGATATTTTTTCTCTTGGAGCTTCCACGGATTTTGGGTGATTTATTGAGTCTGAACTGATGGGAACAAGTTTCATTGGTTCAAGCACTAGCAATTGCAAGGCGCAAAACATGAGCTCCGAGGCGAGCATGTTGACCATTCCTTACATAAAAGGAAGGCAAGTAATTTTGGCCATTGTACCAAATAGGAGTTCTTAGCTGCATAAAAAGTGTAGGATAATTAGCCCTCCTCCACCAAGATAAAATGCTAAACATATAAGGGCATCCACAATGGTAAATTTATGGCCGTTTATAACTTTCATTCAGGATCATATGTCAGGATTTTTTTTTTTTTGTGATCTCCGATTTATATTCATAAACTCTATTTGTGGGTCCGGATAGCTCTCTCTTTCTTCTGTTTTTGTGATGTATGAGTTTATGATTAGAGATGCTCTAAAAGGCAACCCTGATTAATGTTTTTGTTCTATTACTATATGAAGGAGAGTGTAGTGGGGAGGGTTGTTTTTTTTGGGAGACCATTACATGTCGTTATTGTGGATTGTCTTCCAGTTACTATAAAATATTTTTAAAGTCTTAGTTTCAATTCAAGGAATATATATAATGAATCTTGAGATAGAAAAAAATGCATCATAATAAGGACCGAATGAAGTGTTCCCTTACAAATCATAGGACCTAGGATTTCTTTTTTTTTTTTCTATTTATGTTTTAAAATAATAAAAAGACTATCTTTGCTATTATTAATTTGTTAGTGGAGCCAGCTAAACAGGATTTTTTTTAATTTTCTACTTTTTTTTATTGATATGTTTTTACATGATTTTTTTTACTTTTCTATTTTTTTATTGATATTTTTTTACATGATTACGTATTATTTCTTAATACATTAATGGAAATATGTTATGTGTGAATATTTAAGATGATCTTTTTTACTTTTCTATTTTTTTATTGATATTTTTTTACATGATTACGTATTATTTCTTAATACATTAATGGAAATATGTTATGTGTGAATATTTAAGATGATCTTTTCAATACCTTTAGGAACGGATCCAAACATTATCTTGTGTTTTGTATAGTAACCAACCCACTATTCTGCATTTAAGGTAATATATGAACTTTTACAGTTTTGTTACTTTGATCATATGACTTTTTTCTTTGTATTTTTTTTGGTTTTCAGAATATTTACTATTCGTAGTTTCAGAATCTCTATATTTTAAGTATATGATGCAAAATTTTTATACAATAATATCTTCATCCCGTCGTGCAATACACGGGGTACATACTAGTTTTATGGCAAAATGAGCCTCAGTTTTACGTTGCAACTATTCTCCAAAATACAAAGGGAAAAAAAAAACGACAAAAGAAATAAATGAATCGATAGATAAAATGGTACCAAATTACAAATTTACAACTCGATGATAACAAGTTCTAGATCTTCTGGGATTTCCGGCAACGACGGTTTCCAACGTTGTCGTGATCGCCGCAATCCCGTATTTGATGACCATAGTCGCTTTATGTTTGCCCTAATTGCTTGCGCTAGTAATTGACATTTGCAAGTTATTACACCACGGAAGACAATCAAGAAGCAAATTGAGAATATTGATGTTAAATAAACTACAAAGGCGATGACGGAATCACGTCTTCCCGGTAGCCCTAAAAACAAGAAGCTGATGACTAAACTAATGACAATAACGCAGCCGAGTCGAAACACAAATCCGAGTCCTGCCGGCCTTTGTTCATCAGTTAATAATCTTCGCTCATCTTCCAGAGTTAAATCAATATCCGGCCAGAAACTCGAACGCCACGCCGGCGTCATCTTGCTCCGTTCTATGTGCAATCAAATCGCCTCTTATACTGATTATATGTATTATATGCTGTTGGAAACAAATTTTAATATTTATAGAGAGCCATATATAGCCGGGCAAATTAATTAAGTAGGATTAATCCTATTCCACAACTAGACTGGTTGAACATATTAATCCTAATCCCTCTGTGATATACATATCAATCGTTAGATCTCCGAAAATGATAACAACCGTTAGATTAAACAAGATGCAACACAAAAGAAAAATACACCACATACACTATATAATTTTTAAGTTACTTATTACCATTTGTACAACACCTTAATTACCACCATAAGATCTTCTTATCGATCACTTATTTTCCAGGCCCAAAATAACTTCTTATTCTGTAATTAAAACAAAGCATTGGAGACCTAAATTTAATTTTCACAGCAATCGATTATAATCACCAGACACCAATTCACCATTTTCCTGATATATACTTGCTTTCAAACCGAAGACCAAAAATATAGTCTTTCAATCTCTCAACAACTAGTTAAAATCCAAACCAAACAAACTTTTCGGAATAAATATGATGCTTCAACAAAAGCAGATATTTATATTGATACATTACAAATCATAAGAAAACATTGAAAAGAAACATTGACAACGTAAGTATTGCTTTATAAGTGATTGTCCACAATTCCCAAGGATAAATGACAAAACAGTGAAATTATAGAAGGAACACAAAAGAATTGAATCAATTATGCAAAAAGTGAAACTCAGTGGTTCTGATGGATGATGAGAGAAGAAGATAGAATACAATCATAGTTTGACATGACAAGGCTACTTTGGGAAATACGCATAGTCTTAGTAATAATTACTCTAGTGATATCATGAGGTAATTAAATAATTGTTGATTATCTATTAATAAGGATGAGAGAATGATACCCTACTTCTCACTGTAGGAACAATTTGATACGTCAAAATTTAATTGGATAAATTTTAACTGGATGATTCAATAAAAAACGCTCGACTGAACCATAAAATTTTTCATTATTATAAATCTTTTTCGTTTTACTTTAATAGATTAATTGTACTGATTTAGTAGTCGAGTTTATAAACTCAATAAGATTCACTTGACAAATTTGAGACATATATAGAGTAGTGCGAGGTTAATTTTCAACTTCTGAATACTTCGAGAGTTCGAGTTGCGTAAAAGGGAAATAGATGTACAAAATGTTGATTCGTATTTTCTCAAGCTAAACACCAAGATTGACCCAAAAGCGTTGAAATCAAACAGGGAGAAAACTTAAAAATTCAAACATGAGGAAAGTGATGCCTCTTTGTCTTATTGATTTTTTTTTATTCAAATAAACCAACTTAGTTCCCTCAAACATTTCATGCTTCATGCGCATACTTCTATAAGTATTATTAAGATATGTAGGATGGGGGGCAGGATAGGAGTGGGCAGCAGAAAGTTCCCTCTTTTGTATTTCTTTCCGATCATATTCACACAAGCACCAATTTCACCAGTTTCATCGTTAGCTTATTTCCATCTCAAGAGCCATAAAATCCCATCGCATGTCCGAATTACGGAATCATGCACAAGTTGTTCTTGAGCCTTTCTCTATCATTTGGTGGTTTATTAACTCTTCTGTTACTTCTTGACTTTGTTCCGAGAATCTTGCAACGTTTGTCCTCAGATTCCGCCGTTTTGACCTTTGAACATTTGACTTTGACCATTTCTTTCATGCATGCAAAATTTTAGGTGAATTCTATTCAAATTATCAACTTGTAATTGCAAACACTAGAATCATCCTCCTTAACGAAAGTCTATTCAATATTATTGATCAACTGTTGTCACATTAATAAACTCGTGATTAGTCAAAGCAAGTTAATTATTCACACAAACACTTCAAAAAAAAATCGACTTAAGTAGTCCGTTATATATACTGTGATCATCAAAACTCAAAAGCATTATCTTGTATCATTGTTCTTACTTCTTAGTCGCAGCAAAACAACTATGGAGAACTCACATGCTGAAATTGTTCTTTTTTGTCTTTTCTTAATGATTATCAAGCTTCAATACGTGCCTGTGGCGGGCTGCATTGATAGTGAAAGACGAGCTCTTATGGAGTTCAAACGCCGCCTTGTTGACAATGCGAATCGCTTGTCATCGTGGAACACTCAGAAAGATTGTTGCGATTGGGATGGAATTACTTGCAACAATCTCACTGGTCGCGTTGAGAAACTTGATCTTCGTAACCCCATCCTACCAAGTGATGGTATGTTGTGGTCTTCTTCGTCAAGCAATATTGATGATTTCAAAAAGAATTGCTTGAGGGGCAAGCTCAATCCTTCAATACGCAATTTGGAGGACTTGCGTTATCTAGATCTCAGCTCTAACAAGTTTTCGGGAATTCGAATTCCAAGATTTTTTGGATCTTTGACAAATTTGAGGTACCTCAATATCTCTGGTGCAGGATTTGATGGAGAGATTCCCCCTTATCTTGGAAATTTGTCTAAACTACAATATCTAGATATTGGTCAACCTCTTTCTGGGTTAACGCACAACACCTTAAGCGCCAAAATCTTGAGTGGATAACGAGATTTTCTGTCTTAAAAAGTTTAGACCTCTCTGGAATCAACCTAAATGAATGTCTTGACTGGTTTAATTCAGTTAGCATGCTTCCATCTTTGTCATCCTTAAATTTAGGGAACTGCGAGTTACCAACTGATACACAAGTTTCTCTTGCTCCTCCTAATCCTTCCCGTTTCATGAATCTAACGTCTCTTATTTCGCTCAACATTCGACAGAATTATTTCAGTTCTACCTCAGAACTAAATTTGTTTCTCAACCTTTCCACCAATCTTCAAGTTCTAAGCCTTGACGGAAATAACTTCAAAGGGCCATTGCCTTTCAACATCTTAGAAAAGTTCAGGTATTTATCTGTCTTAGACATTCACGGAAATTCTTTCAACTCCTCAGCTTCAATGCTAGCTTCACTCTGTAACCATTCTAGTCTTGTTGTTCTTGATCTTAGTTTCAATGAACTCGAAGGGTCTTTTCCTCTTTGCGTTGGGAACCTCACTTCACTTCAGTTTTTGAATCTGAAGCTGAACAAATTTGGTGGAAAAATACCCAATGAGTTAGGCGATCTCAAAGATCTTTGTTATCTTGACTTGTCTTTTAATTCATTCAACTCTTCCATTCCCTCAAGTTTGGGAAAACTCAGAAAGCTAGAGTTTCTGTATCTTAATGGTAATCAGTTGTATGGTACAGTTCCTTCAACTATGGGGCAACTTAGCGAACTACAAGAATTATCCATCTCAGGGAATTCTTTGACCGGTGAGATGTCCGAATCGCATTTTATGAAACTCAAATGTTTGAAATTTTTTGAATTCCATGGATTTGTTGAACTCAGAGTGAGTCCTCAATGGATCCCTCCATTTCAACTAAGGTTCATTGATATAGATTCCTTAAACATGGGGGATCAATTCCCTCCATGGCTTCAGACCCAACAAAATGTTAGTGTGTTAATCCTGAGAAATGCCAGTATTTCTAGTCCTATCCCTGAGTGGTTTGGGACTACTTTTTCTAGTGTCACAGAGTTGGATTTATCAATGAATAAAATCAACAGCGTGTTGCCGTCATCAATGAAGAACTTGAGAATTTTAGCTGTTGTTGATCTCAGCGAAAACAAACTTACCGGCAGTATAACTGAATGGATTAGTCAGGATTTGTCACAATTACGACGGCTAACGCTTCGATCAAACAATTTCTCTGGTGTGATTCCTTCATCCATCAAGTACTTTAAATATTTCTATTATCTTGAACTAAGCGAGAATCAGTTTACAGGAACCAAACCTGAATGGATTGGTGAAGTATCGCAGTTGGAAGAACTTCGACTTCGATCAAACAGTTTCTATGGTCCGATTCCCAAGCAACTCTGCCAATTGCCATACCTGGAAACTCTAAGTTTGGCAGATAACAATTTAACTGGACGCATCCCTGATTGTCTTCTGTAATCATTAAACTGTAATCAAGGATTAGAAATCCATTCTAGACCAAATTCCGACGTCTTGGGATACTTTGATGTTCCATTGGCAAAAATTCATCAGGTTCTTTGCATCATCTCCATAAAATGTTTTTGACATTGAACTCCAGCATTTGCAATGAACACTATATATGAGTCGCTTCTTATGACTAACAAACAAATTTTCAATTCATAACTAAAGTTGAATTCGGTCCATCTTTCTCTCAATATCTCTTGAACAGAATCCATAAGCTGTCATATCTGCGTATGAATTAGGTCCATCTTTCTTGTTAATATATATCAGCCAATCTTATCCCACAATAGCTTTTTTTAATAATGCGATCATGCAGTTTACCAAAAGGTTTCATTCCATCAATTAATCCGTAGACATAAAAAAAAAAAAAAGTACTGTTTTAATCATTTTCATGAGTATTTTTCAAAGGATTAAATATTTTTCATAACTTTTCAGTGTTCCTCTCTATTTCCATCTACCTTGACTTCATCCTGCTCACTGCCACAGTATCATTTTTGGGCCAAATCTAAGACCAAGTTTTGAGCAAACGGGGAAAACAAAACTTCTTTAAATGAGGAGATTTCTTGAAATGTAACACCACCATAGTAAAATAACAAAAGATAGACAAGAGCAAGAATATACAACTCACCCGTAGAAAACATGTATCGCAAACAAAGGAAACCAAAGACAGAATATTAAGGAATGATAATCAAAACTGATCACTTCTATCCTGTAACATTATCGCTAAACCGTATTTATTTAACATCAAGCAAATCAAATGATTGTCTTGAAGGGCCGGTAAACTTTAAGGTCACTAGTAAACTTTAAGATAGGCTAGCTTTTGGAGAAGAGTCCTTTGCTGCTTCCCCTTTCTCACCCACGCACAAGGAAACTTAAAAAAGGGGTAGCCCTCGCAGGTTACACAAAATTTGTATAGTGGTAACCCTCGTGCTACTATTAATAATTTTTGTTTTTTAGGAAATTTAAAGTCTCTTCTTCAACGACTTTTTCAGTTAAAAAAAAAAAAAAAAAGAATATTGACATCAAAACCTTCCCTTAAGGCTCATCATAGAGCTCCAATTCCACAAAATACATCAGATGCTTTATACAAAAGACAAGGAATTGAGATCCTACAATCTTCATTATTTCTTTCCTGTAACATTATCAGTAAACCGTTTTACTTTAACATCAAACAAATCAAATGCTTGTCTTGAAGGCCCTGCAAACTTTAAGGTCACTAGTAAGTCCAGCAATGGAACCCGCAGCTGCAGTAATTGAGACAATCAAGTACGCACCGCTCAACATTTGGAGGCATATCCATCTTGTGCTCCACTTCGGAATCTTCTTTTGGGTAATATACATTTCAATTGGAAAGTATACAGAGAGAGGCCAAAATCCAAGGGCTCCAAGAAAGCCAACCACGTCGTTGAAGAATGGATGCATCATCGACACCACGGTTCTGAAAACTACAAAAAATGTGCGCCAAATTAACCGGAAGAGATTGATTTTATACTCTCATCTATAGCCTTTCATCTTTCTTCATAAGTTGACTTGAATCCATATAAAGGAATTTCGATGTCCTCGGAGATGAACTTGCTTTCTGGGAACTATTCTGCCGCGGTCTTTTCAATGAATGCAAAAAGTGGTTGGCAACAAACTTGATATGCACCAACGAGATGGACAGAAATGGCTATATTAGCAATATCAACTAGCCAATACGGGTTATAAAATCCAAAACCTGTTAAGAGATTTCCCGGAGAAAGGTCTCCGAATGCAGCATAACCGAAATAGCCACACAACATGTACAAAAGAGTGGTTACTGCCACACTCAATAAAGTAGCCTTTTTCATGGTTTTGTGTTCAGATGGAGGAGATTTGATTGTATCCTGAATCTCAATCAGGATAATAGAGAAAGAGAACGCAAAAGCAATGGTTCCAAGTGCTTGGAAACTCCTCCATATCTTTTCAGTAAGAGTAACAGTACTTCCATTGATGGTGATTCCGGTTAGACTCCCCCTGATTTTGCCAGATTGGACTACTCTTCCAACTCCAAGACCAAGACCAATTGAAGAGTAGGTAAAAGACATGAGTGTAGCTACAACCGAAAGCCACCATAAGCGGTCGAAATTAGGAATTTGGGAAAAAAGGATTTGAACTACTCCAAACATGATCATGTAGGGATTGCTTGAGACTTTGCGAGGATCTCGGTGGTGGCTTGAATGGAAGCAATTGGATTTTTGAACAGCCACCATGCTTACGGATGCTGCAATAGTGAGACCGATTGCTATTCCAGCAAGATTTATGTATTGAATTGTGCGGCAGACTTTCACTTGGATCCCACCGAGATTGGATCGCACAACTTCCATATATGTATAATTCCTTTTCCCGGAAACAGGGTCCTGTTCTGTAACAAGTGGACAGAAGAATCGAAGTAAAATATGTGACCAACGCAAAGAACAGCATCACCGCCGGACCAGCAATCCATCCTAGCTGCGCCACAGCCCAAGCTAACGATAAAATTCCCGAACCAATCACCGCCGTGATGATATGAGCGCTGGCAGTCCACAACGTTCCAGTTCGCTTTAGCCTTCCATCGTCACCAAATATTTTGGAAACTCCAGCTGCTGCTGGTGAAGAAGAAGAAGAAGGAGGAGGAGGGGGCAACTTCATCATTGTTAAGTTGGTCGCAGCTTCCTCAACCATGTCTTCCCAAACAAAATTAAAGCGATTCTTAATGAAAACTAGTTGTGAGCTTTTCTCACGTTCTTAAACGATGCTCTATCTACGTTTCTTGATTTCTAATTTCTTTGTGGTTTTGTCAACTTCATATTGGGTGTAGATTTATGGGGAAAAGATTGCCCACAAGCTTTTCCGATCACCAAATTGATTTGAAACTTCCGAATTTAAGTATTATTCTAACTTACCTTTCCTTTACTAAAAAGAATGGGAAACTTGAATATTTTTATTAGCTTAAAAAATCAGATGCCAATATCAAAAATCCATTATTAGTGAACTATGGACGACCATGAAAAAAGCTAGCCTATCTTAATGAAGGAAATAATGGGATATTTTATGTTCAAAGAGCACAGCTAATTATTAATTACTCTTGTTAATTTCGTACTGCCTTTTAATTTGGAGAGTAAAACTGATGCGACAAGTTAAATAGAGGTGAACTGTGTAGAATTAAATTAGTTTGAGACAATTCAATGGGAAACAAATTACACTCTTCAAAATTTGGAACCAGAAAAGGATTTATCAGCCATAAAACCATTCCAATCCAAAGCCACAATAACAAAAGACAAAGAACAAAGTACAAAGGAAGAAAAAGTCGTGTTGATAAAAGATTAATTAGGTACGATCATCCTCCTCAAGTTCTTTGGCCTTCAAAGCTTCCTTAGCTCGCAAAAGAAGACTTGTTTCCCAGGCATCCAGCGGGGTCATTCTATCATATTCCCTAACAGTATCAGTAAACCTCGCAACATCTTCCTCCTCCACCGCGGCAGCCAAATCATCCAATAGTTTGTATTCTCGTGTTCCTGAAAAGTTAGGATCAAGTTCCCGATACCGCCCCAATGAATTCTCCATGCTAACAACAACATCACCCATACAAAGCTGGCATATCCCGGCTTTGAGAAGATGCCGCTTGACTCCTATCTCAACAAGCTGGCGCCGCCACCGTGGAGCGATTTTTCGAGCAATGTCTTCAAAGATCTCAACCGCCTTCGGGTATTGCCCGAGCTGAGAAGCAAACTGGGCAACCTTCTGCCTGCACTGATTTGCGGAACTATTAGAATCTTCAGTTTGGAAGAGATGAGCTGATTTCTCATAATATACGATAGATTTTTCCAATTCCTTGTCCTCCTCGTACATTCCGCGATTTCCTTGTAATATTTCGCTGACGTAAAGAGACTACCGGTTTCCAAGAACAAATTCGCAGACTGTTCCAAACAAGATATTGATCGCTCTTTATCGGTTCTCTTATAGCAATGAGCAGCATCAGCATAAGCTTTCGTGGCTTCGAATTTATGGTCCGACGACCAATTCAAGTAACAGTTTGCGAGCTTAAGGTAGACCCCCCGGCTTGATCCCAATGTTTCTCCAGCTTGTAGGCTATAGCAGCCATCTTAAAGCATTGAAAAGCTTCATATTCGTTGACGAGGAAACCCCACCAGCCAGCCAGCTTCTTCTGCTTTTCGAGGTTTTCGGCTCTAGCAATTTGGTCCGCCATGGGAGAACTTCCCTTTGATTAATTGTTCTTGTTCTTCCTAAGCTTCGGAGGGACAAGAGAGTCCAAAGTTATGGTTTCGCTTTGTGTAGGTCTCACAATTAACCCTTCTATGGTGGTATTCTGTTTTTGGTTAATTTTACAGTGATATTCTACTCATACTAGGATTCTCCTTAAAAAGAAAAACAAAAAGGTAATTTAAACTATATGTGTGCTTCCTTCCTTTCACGCAACAACCAAAACTTGATATTTTTCCTTACCAAATTCACACACCAAGAAAAATAAAATAAAATAAAACTAGAGGAGCCGAAGTTAAGTGGCACGAAATCATTCCATAGTTTGAAACATATAGGTGCCTGTTCTTGATTAGCTTCGTTGCGTTTTCTGAAATTTCGGAGCCTCGGGCTAGCTATAATTCAAAAAAAAAAAACAGATAATGTTTTGAACTGTTTGTTGATCATACCCGTCCAAACACGTCGACAACAAATTAAAGTGCAATGGTATGGACTGTTAGCAAAAGAACTTTGGGTTATAAGGAAGAGATCTTTTAGGTGATAGGTTTAGGAAGTGAAAATAGAAGAGAAGTAAATTTTGGGAGAAAGGAAGCTTTACTACTTTGTAGTAAAAGAAAACAAGGTGGAGTGTGTTAAGCTTTTAGCTAAGGTTTCTAACAACTCTCTACACACATTACATACGGGGGTTAACTCCTATTTATAGGAGTTCATGGAAGATTCTACGTACTTTCAAGATTTTCCTCCTGCACATAATATCTAGAAATTTCCTTACTAATATATACATATTTCCTCTAGATATTTCCATTGATTATTCTACAATATCTAGATATCGTAGTAGAAGTTTCTACTACTTTCATCATCTCTTTCTAGTCTATTCTTCATATTGGACTTGGGCTCAATTTTAAACAAAAGACTAATGATCTAACTAATTAAATTGGATGGCCCAATATAATTTGGACCAAACAAGTTTATTCACTAACCCCCCTTTAAACTTGGTTTGGTGACTCCAAGCATTATCCTCAATCTTGTAAAGTCTTCTCCTTTGAGTGGTTTGGTGAAAATTTCTGCAACTTGATCACGTGATCTTGTATGCTTCAACTCAACGATCCTCTTGGCCACAGATTCTAAAAAAACCTACTCCTAAGAAATTTAGTAGTATAGCAATGAGTAGGGTCATCTCCTCAGGGAGCAAGGAAATGAAAATATTTCTAATCAAAAGTAAAGTTTTTTATATAACCAAATGGACGAATTTTTGGATTATAACTAATGGATGATAAAAAATAACTGGTGAATAATAAAAGATAGCTTTGGAAAATTAATAATAAGAGAAACTCTAGTCAAAGGAATAATTTTCACCTTTATGTATCCAGCTGATCATTGATGCAAAGATTAACTCAACAAATCATGAATGTATTAGTTATCGTTGTTGGAACCTCCTAACAACTCAATCTTTTTTATTAATTATCAGCAATTAAGAAACCCTCATTAACCACTCTATAGCCAAAAACACTACCTGGAACCTCCTAGGATTCAGTTTTCGACAAACAAAGACCCAACTCAATTTCTAACAAACAAACCTTGTTTCATTAAAAATTGATTATTTATTCTCACAATACAAGTAAACGACTTACCAAGTAATTATTTTTATTGTCTCTTCTAAGGAACAAACAAACCTTGTTGTTCAATAAATTAGATTATCTATGAGAATTGAATGCTACCAGCTATTCAAATAATGCCAAATAATCATCAATACACATCAAAGAGAATAAATAAATACTCAAAATTCATTAGTGAAAAGCAAACAGTTAGATCTCACAATTGAATAATATCAAGGCTTCAATAAAATCTTTCAACTAGAAAAGAGGTTTAGCTACTAATCTTGAAAAACTTAATATTAAAAGAGTACATAATTTAAGCTTACAGAGCTAGTCCTGGAGAAAACAGAGAGAAAAATTTGAAACTAGAGGCTCAGAGGCTCCCTATGCCTCCTACAATCTAACTCCTTCTTAATAATAAGAAAAAGATTATTTATATGCAAATTTAGGGCATCCCCACGTTCAGCCCGTTCAAAAATCGCAGTAACCAATTAAAGTTTTCAGAATTTTCAAATTGGCCCCTAAAGTTTGTAGAAATTACAAATTGGCTCAAAAACTTTGGAAATTTTGCAATTTAATCCATGTTACAGCGTGCCCACGCGGGAATAAACCACTTCTTCTCCAACTTGAAATTTGATTCAATAAAACCTCCAAAATCTCTTCAAAATCAACACTTTTCTTCTTTTTGTTCCAAATCCTTCCTATGATCAAATTAAGAACCAAAGCACTAATATTAGCATAGGATAATATTCAAAACAATACATAAACCACCACAAATATCATGCTAATATTAACATTATCAACTCCCCCACACTTAGATTTTGCTTGTCCTCAAGCAAACTTAAAAAGAATAACTTTTAACTCAACTTGCAAACCACTACTTTGAACCACAAAATTTGGAAATCATTTAAAACACAATCTCAACCACCACGTCACACATCAATCATAAACTTAATCAATTATGCAATCAAACATAAGCTCCTCTAATACTATGCATAGTCAACAAGATAGTTGCTTCATCCCTAAAACTCCATCAATGATTGGAGCAAAATCACCTCACCAGTAAGTTCACTCATTTTCTTTTTTCTTTTCTCTCAAGTGTAGCGTATCAAACAATTCACACATATCAATATCTAGCAGAATACACAAGAATTTGAAAAGTCGTCACATCATCATACACCAAGCAAATAAACTTACCAATAAAGGTCTTTACATAGGGTTGTAATGGGGCTTTAGGTAAGGAAACGGGTGGATAAATATGGATGTAGGCTTATTTTGTCAAGATAGACCAAGTATACTTAAACTCCACCATCTTACCAGATATCCCATATAATGGCATTGCTCATCCTCACACCTCAAACTTTACATACTCAAACTTTAAGTGTGCTTTGCATAAGAAATTGCAGTAAACTTCTCATATTACATTTACAAACCTATGGCATCTCAAAGATATAATTAAGAACTTGCCATACTCTTAAACAAGTAGGAAATAGGGATTCATGGGATTTTTTTTTCTTCTTTTTTCCGGGTATTCCCCCCTTTTTTGCATTTTCCTCTTTTTTTTTTTTTTGACACGCCCTATATTACATCAAATGCATAACTTAAAACAATAACACATGCCACTATAATGTCCAACTCTTACCACAAACCCAGTTTAAGCAACCTAATCCAGAGCTTGAGTAAAGGGTAAAGGATAAAAAAAAATGCTAATGGTTGTGGTAACTAGAGCTAAAGAAAAACGGTCAAGGTTTGAATGGTTCACTAGGGGTAAACATAAATGGATAGGCTTTTTAAGCTAACTTGGCTAAATCCTAGTGCCTTTATTCTTGTGGCAAGCCATCTACAAGAGCACAGATGCGTCATAGCTCGGAAAATTCAAGATTAATCCATACTAGATATGATATACTTCCCACATAAAAATGTTGAGCATTCAAATACACTAACTCTATTTGTTCAGAAAGGCTCAGATCACTCAATTCAAAGTAACTTTATTGTGATAATATTCCAATCATTAACTTCAACACTTAAATTCACAAGATATCTGAATAGTACATAGCAAAGAAAAATTTATGTTTTTCATGCTTCACTTTTCAACCTATGATGATTAGCAACATAACAGTTGAAACGTTTGAAAACAGTGGTTCAGACTCAAATTTTTGAAACAAATTTATCAAAAAGAAGTTTAATTCTTTTAAGTAAGCAATTTAATGAAGACAAAATTGAAACACACAAACTCCTCCCCACTCCTAAAGCATACATTGTCCTCAATGTATAAAAGATGCAAAGACAAAGAATAAAAGCACATACAAACTCCCAAATAATATTAAAGAGAAAAAGAAAGGTACTTCCTTGGGAATTCGTAGTGGAGGAATCAAATTTGATGTGAAGCGGGAGTAACATCTTTTTGCATCGGATCAAAAGGATTGACCACGTAGAAGAATTTTCCTCGAAAGCTAGCTGTCACACTCAAACAAACCTTTAAAAAAAACCTAACTCTACGTCGATCAAATGATTAAGAAAAACCACGAAAATCAAGAAATCATGGATCTCAAGATCATCAGGAACAAAAAACTTAACCACATAATCGATTTATTGAACAATACAAATAACAAAAATAAACCATTGGGTTGCCTCCCAACAAGCGCCTTTCTTTAGTGTATTTGGCTAGACACAGCATGTGTGTATCAAGGTGGAAATTTGAAAGCTCCACACACAATCAGAACTTGATACAACTCTGAATAGGCCTCAACAAAACCAAGGTTATATGTCTCAAACTGATATTCAAACATTATATCAACAAACAAAGGTAGAAAATGATCTCCTCTAAATGACTCTTTAAAAGTATTACACACTCTCCACAAGTAAACACAAACATGAAAATCAAAATTGACATCTATCATCCACCCAAATTCAGGAGGTCTAAGCAAATGTCCATATGCATGCTTAAGATCTATAGGTACGGATCTTAAGTCAACTTTTGATGGTTTCCACTTTTCAAAAATTGTAGGCACATAGTCAAAAGGACAACTGCCATTC